TCGTGGCCCCAGGTTGTCAAGTATGCGCTGACCCAATTCGCGGCCAAGCTGGGCTGATCCGGCGGCGGTAGACATCAAACCGACTAAAATATGCTGGCCTCGGTTCGACTAGCCTAAGTTCAGCTTGCTTCGCCTCAGCTCTATGCATTCGGCTAGTCTCAGTCTAGCTTGGTTTGATTCACCTCACTTCGACTTGGCTCAGTTCGCCTCACCTCGGTTTCGTTCGCCTCGGTCCGCCCGGATTCCCTTCGCCTCGGATCGGTGCGGTTGGTCGGGCCCAGCGGGTGGTCGCGCCGCTGGACAGCCAGCTCACTCACGACACAATTGACATCGACGCAGCGCCGTGGCGGACCAGCAGATGCAGCCGGCAGACACAGTCGAGTAGAGAGCGACGCAGCTGTAAGGGGCGGTGACGCGTGCCGCCCAGCGGCCGAAACGACAAAAACGATAGAAACGCCGACGAGAACAATGTGGAAATGATAGAAAAGAGGCGTCCAACCATCCATTTCGGCTATCGTTCTGGAACGGCCACCTACCAGCTCCCTGTATGGAGACTGGAGAGTGGGTGGGCTGGAGAGTCGTCTGTGGTATACACGACGGAGCTATTTATAACGTAGCTATTTACCATTCAGCCATGTCGACTTATGTGAGGTGGATGCATCAGCCTGTGACGAAGTTCCTTTGGCAGTTCTTTCCACTGCCTTTTCCGAGGCAAAGTTCTCCCTCAGTCAAGTACCGAACCTAAACATGTAATTAGATATGAAACAAATGGCACGTAAAAGACCGTCGATAGCGGCATTTGAGTCACCACCCGACGCATAACAACGCTAAATTCCCGTTAATGCAACTAAGGCAATCCAAGCAATATTAAATGGCACAAAATTCAAGGATAATGAAGCAATTGAGCATGCTGCGTAGTGCGTAAGTAAGACCCTCCCTGCATACGATTGTCATTGAATGTGATACGTTCTTCCACTGCACCCAGAATCCACGAGCAACGAAGAATCGTGACCCATCGACAGATCCAATGCGTAATTGCTCGCCGTCTCTGCCGTCTCAGAATCGGTCCTGTGATTCGCCCATTTCACGCAAGCGGCAGGCGCGGAGCGTCATCACCACTCCAGCACAGAGGAGCGGCCGAAGAGCGACGGAGACGGTTCCCGGTACACTGACAGTCGCCTCTGTCCGGCGAGGAATGCGGCTGCGGTTTCCTTCTGGTGACGCGCAGACGCCACTATCGATGCTACTGACGGACGTATGTGGGCAATGCTGACGGGAGAATCCCGCAGTAGGTCGAGCCACACTGAGACCGCAGACCCGGCAGAGGCCCGACAGCGGAGTCCGCGGGTCAGACAGAAGCGACAGTCATGTCAGTCCCACATGCTTTTTTCAGCGAAGTGATTATTATCCATTTATCAGAGGAAGTTTCTCCTGATGAGGATTTGAGAATATGCGGTGACTGGGGTGAACGCGCGCTAACGCGTACTTTCGATGATTTCACTAAGCTGTCGGGAGATTTTTTCCCGAAGGAATGGGGACGGGCTGCGGCATGCGACGCAGATAAACACCACAATCGAGCAATAAACGATATAGCGGACAACCAGAAGAGACCATAAATGTCATGCTGAGAATCGGGATACGGTTAGCTGAGCTGAGTAGATAGGAAATGAGGGCTAATAAATGAAAGCTGATAGCATTAACAATTAACTAATGAAGGTCATTAATGCGAATTGCAGAGAGACAAGACCAACCAGGGATTTGATTCTGTCCCTCAAATGCCCTTTTTAAGTAAAGGTGTCCCTAGATATTGTATTCCAGGTAAAAAGTGAGCAGCAGCGCTGTTCTGTAGCAACGCACCAGTCTCCGAGACACATTCCCGACATGACGTGGGCCCGACAGACATGATGTCATAACGTGTGACCTCACCTGGAAATGTAACCGTCACTGGTGTGAGCCGTGCGCGCCCACTCACGGGAGCGCCCAGCGCACCCCACGGCGCCGGCCCGGCCAACGACCGGTGTCGTTACCGGCCCGTCACTGAGAGTCGCGCGCCACTGACGCTCCCAGACCCAATCCCGCATACTACTACCCACTTTCGCTTCCGGGCGCAGCCACTGTCGTTTTTCTAGCGACTAGCCCACGGCCTGCGACCCGCATGCTTGGATGGCCTTGGAAGATTTGTGGAATGCTAATTTGATATGCACGTAATGGCAGGGATAAACGGAACGTTCATGAGGGAATTACGATTACCAAGAAGGATTTTAGGTAGAAGCTGCCTACCAGGAATCCCGCTAATCAAACACACGCTTTTTTAAAACAAATAAGCCATTGGAAGTGAAAAGAAAGCGTTCATCGGACTACGCTTCGAACAGACTGGTGTTATCGACGCTACGACCTTTGTGCTCCGGCACAAGGAACAAATTCTACGCCGATAGCAATGGCAGGGAAATCAAACGCCAATGAACATATCAGCGACATGAGCGACTACGAATGAGGTCAAGATTGCACCGGCAAACAAAGCAACTGGGCCAGACAATACTACAGCTTCGGTTTATTCAATATTTGCTCATGCACATTGCACAGGCTCATAATATTGCGGCTTTAAAATATGGAGTCCGCATTGGGGTTTCTCAACAAACGTGACTCGCACGTTTATATTCATTCTTCAACTTTAAATTCAAGTGTATCGAGCCATATCCAGCGCCCGTGAGCTCAACCTGGAACTCAAATATGATATTCGAGAACTTTTCATAACGCGGTTGGAAGTTCACGCACGAAGGCAACTCCCGTCCACCGCAATAGTGAGTCAACAAGTGGATGCAGATGAACCCGGCATGATCGGCCCATGACGCCTCTAATTTCAGACTCGTCCCGCCACCGGCGTGCCCTTCAGATGCAGAGCTGACTCGCCGCCAGCACAGAAACGAGACGACTCGTCCCAAACGGGCAACTAGGAACGGCCTGCATGCTGATGCGCCGTTTAAACACTGAGCTGCCGGCGAGTGTGGCTGTTTTTCCCGTCGGGATGGCCCGCCGGTCACCTGGCAGTTATCCCAGCCGCCGGACCGGTCTGCCCACTCTCCTAACCGCCGCCGAGTCGCCCCATTACAAGGCTCGAGTTCTGGCCGGGCCGGAGCTCTACCGCGGCGCGCCGGCCGCTCACCCACCCTCCTCGAGTCGCCCGTCCCTTCCCCCGGCTGCGGGGAGGCCGCGCCCCTCTACGGACGGCTCCCGGAGCCTCCCGGAGCCGGAGCCGGCCTTGCCCGCGTCCCCCGGTCCCAGCGAGGCACGGCGCGCGCGTCCGACTTTCGCCGGACGCGGCGCCCGCAGCGGCCGAACGGCGCGGACGTCAGCTGCTCACCGGTGGTCGCACCCCGGGACCAGCGGCAAAAAGCAGCGTCACGTCGCCTGAAACTCAATCGAGGAGCGATGGAGCTGTGGCCATGGGAAACTGAGGGACTGAGTGAGTCGGAGGCAGTTCTTGATGGCTGTCAAAGAGAGCTCGATATTTAGCATGAATGTGGACGATTTAGCCGGAATTCGTTGAAGGATCAGTGCCCTTCAAGGTTAGAGATGACAGTATGATTGTTAGGAGAGAGCGAGGGATGAAAAATCGCGAAGCTGACAGAGTTACGATCTACAGAAGCCCGTCATTCTGCTAACGACGCGATGATAGGTCGCGGGACCGGCAGGTGTCGTGACAGACCGTCGCACAGCCGTGTGACAGCTCCGTGTGACAGATCCGTCACAGGCTCCCCACGGGTTCGTGACGTGACAGTGGCGCGCGCCTACACTGCAGGCCGAGAGCTGACGGGGCTGCGAGGGTGTCAACGTGCGAGCACAGTGTCGCCAGTCGTAGTGTGAAACAATTCACACAGTGCCACACTCAAATGTGAGACACATAAGGAAATGTGAGACACCACTGCGGGCACTATCCAGTCGAGGCCGAGAACAGAGGAAGTTCGCCTGGTATCGCCGTCTGTGCGGTTTGTAGGCGGATGGTTACGAGCTTCGTCCATCCGGCTTAGCCCTGCCGACCAGACAACTCTCTCCCCAACATCAGTCCAAGGACCAAAGCCGGTACGGGCCACCCGTCATCACTGTCGCCTCTGACGAGAAACCCGAAATTGGATCTTCCGCTTTCACGCGCTGGTATGTGCGCATCGCTCATCACAATGTTGAGGTTTTGTTTCGGAGCAGCCATCAGCAATCAGCGTCACAGTATAATGGCTAATGCTACAAATGAATTATCTTATGTCAGACGAAGAAAAGCACAGCGCAAGGGTGCAACCGACCAAGCATGAGTTGCAGTATGCATGCCTGGCCGACCGGCTCCCACCTTCAGGTCAAGGCAGGGCACCACCCACGCGTACGGGGTCACCTCTCAGAAGAAACCGTTTGTTCAGAGTGAAGCAAGGCATCGATGCCGGTCCCTCACGAATGAAACCCGGCCCGCTATTCTTGCGACATCCCAAACACACTTCATCTATCAATTGGTGGACGGGAGCAAAACAGGCGTCGAAAACATTCACCGTTCATTCGATGAGAGAGCCAGAAAACATGCAAAAACGGGTGATGTCACCGGTGAGATAGCTGCAGGCTGCAGCAGTGGGTGTGTGCGGTGACGCACCGTGAATGTGCCGTGTGTGCTGTGATATACTGTGCTGCGTTATGTCCGTTTGTTGAGCGGTGAGTTTGATACTGCGCCGTGTGGCGTGTATTTCTGTGGTGCACCGAGTCATTACGATCTAAGACATTGAGCACGTACTAATCTGATCACAAAAGACACCCACAAAGACACAAAAGACAAAAAGACAGCCAATCAGGTCAACCAAGGACGTGCTTCTACGACGGACCACAACCAAAACAAAAAAGAACTACGAACCACATCAACCACAACAGCCAACTCATTACCAGCGGAACACTAAACACCGAACACGAACGTAACACCCGACCAAGCTCCCCAGCCCCTACCGACAAGGCAGCTGGGGCGGACTTACCTTGTTCTCAGATTCCTTATCCCCAGCCGCCGTCACCGGGGCGCTCTTCATGTGTTTCACGTTGGGCATGGAGCCATTCACCACGATGTTCCGCTTCTTGTAGTACTCGGCCGCCTTCGCGTCGACCACCAGCAGGCTGGCATGGTCCGAGTGCGTCTTGATGCGGCTCACCACCTGCTTGTGGTTCTCATTGCTCGTGTTCACACCGTTCACCTCGATAATCTGATCTCCCTCCTGCAGGCCGCACGCCTCAGCAGGGGACTGCGGGTCGATCTTGCCGATAAACTGACCCTCCCTGCCCTTCTCCGAGTGCAGGTTGAAGCCGTACCCCTGGAAGTGCGCCCACTTGACGAGCTCGCAGAGCCGCGGCGCCGGGGCGTCGTCGGGAATGCTGTCCTTGCGACCCATGGCGGAGCGGGAGGACGACTGGCTGGCGCGGCGCACGGCGGAGGAATCGGACAGCGGCGGCGCGCGTGCGGACCTCACCCGTCACGACCGGAGCGGTACTGCGCCGCCGCGAGCCGGCGCCGTCCGCCGGGCCCGCCGCGCGCCCGTCTCCCCGCAGCGGCGCCCGCGGCCGCCGATCGCAGCGCCATCCAGTGAGGCGGAACGAAACTATCGCCGGCCGGGGCAGAGACGCGGTGACTCTGCCGGTGAAAATCAGCAGTGAACTTTGCAGTCTCTATAGTTATTCAGTTCAAAAAGTTCAGAATAGATCAATCACTGTCCGCGAACAAAAGGAATCCACGCTTAATCAAAAACGCTTTTGCCATTGCTGACACAGCAAATGACACTTTTCAGTAGCTAACTTCAGCTAAACCATGGATGAAGTATTCCTAATCCATGAGGAATACTTCATGACTAATGACTTCATGAGGAATACCTAATCCATGGCTTAACCATAATGCAACGAACCAAAGGGTGCTCTGTGTTCAACGTCACCGTATTCGTTTGAATGAGATCACGGAATAACATTAGCTGAATTTTACATTCCCGAAAATGAAAACTATGCAGGTAGCCAATGTCGGCCAACTCACGTAGAAATGAAGACCGTGGTGAGCGTCGGGCTCCGTAACATTACAGCACATATAATCACACGCAGGATAAGATGATTAGGTACTTCACAGAATCAGGATATCTGCAAAGGTACGCACAAAAAGTCGGGATCATTTTGCACAGGTCAGGCTCTGAGCGCATTCAGTGATGCTGTCAATTCGGAAATACGGATTTCAGTCCTTTTCATGACGACTAGATTCTTGCTCATCCCCGTCAAAATCAGACATCCACTCACTGACTGGCACATTTCGGTCGGCAATTCAATTAGCACATACCTAGGTCGCCAGAGAAGATGTGACCAGCCAGTGAAATGCCAGCCCACTTGTTCCGAAGGTCGCTGGAACAATGCAGCAGACGTTTCGAACGCCTACTGGATACATCTGACGGAACCACTGCAATTCACATCCATCGCATACATACGAAACTCAAATGAAGAGGCACAATGTCCATAGACACCGCTGAGGCACTGATGGCATTCAACAAGCGAAAGGACGATAACGTTTCGTTTATATCTGTGCTTCAATCCACACTATTTCGGCCGAATAAAAAGCATAGAAAATGCATGAAAGATTACAAAAATGGCAGGAGGGTAAATATCCAGTTTCGTTTAGATTCTTCTGACAATCCATAACAGCACACAACAGCATAATTTCAGACACAAAAAACATCTACCAATGATGTTGTATTTTAACAGCCATTCACCCAGACAGTCACACACCTCAGACCGGCTAATACACGCTCCTCCCTCGGGCGACATGTTAATCGTATGTACAGAGCTCACAGAAGGCCCGCTGGCAGTTAGTTCCCGTAACATGATTAGCGCGCGCGCGTCCGACCTCCACCGGCCGCCGCTCGCGGGGCGGCGTGTGACGCATAACGTGACGTCCCACGTCACGCAGGACGTGACGTCCGAGCGCCACCCCGGTCGGCAGTACTGTGTCGCTGGTTGTCGCACGACTAGCTGACGACGAGAGCGCCCTCGTCACGGACCGTCGGCCGGCCTCTGACCAACACCGAGCAGTCCTCGCCTCAGCAGACACGCGAGCACACACACACATACACACACGTGCGTTCGTAAACGCACACCCTGACAGACGGCGCACACCTGAGCGTCCCACGCGCGTGCGCAAACTGGCGGCGTTAGTACGAGGAGTGATCCCACCTCCTCCTGAGTAGTACATGACTGGCGCAGCCAACAGCGGCCGGGCAGCCCTGCCGATAATTCATCAGTGCATCCTCGGCAAGATGGATAACATCAATTTAAGAACAGAAATTGCACTTATACATTGTCATTAGTGATTAATATCGGAAATACGTGGCCTAAAATAGTTAGCGCCTTCCAAAAAGGACTGCCTGCCTTTGTGGCATTAGTGTCTGACACCCGAAACATTGAAAGCACAGCAAACTATCGTGCCAGTTTAACACAGAGGCATCGTAGTTAGACGCGAGCATAAGCATTCGCTACACAGTAAAGGGAAGCCTTTCGTTGAACGATGTAGGTACCATGTGAGCCTAGCTCAATTTGACAACAGCAATTATAAAATACATCAATTCACTATTTATTGCACAAGAACTGACTGGAATCCAATATTGTCATGGACTTGAGTATTCGACAAAAAAAAAAATGATGACTGAAGTTTATCGTACGGCAAGACTTATCCTCACGTTAGCATCCGTTAGAAAACAGAATCAGAACAGCACACACAGCGAGCTAATTGCAAATCACACGTCATATCCCCACCCAGAATAGCGACACATCTCATACACCGGTGACAAAACGGAGCCCTGCTACTAAATCATCGCGCGCGCGCGCAGCACCGCCTCCGCTCCTCGGCGAAACAGATCATCGGGTGTCAGATCTCCAGTTCTCTCTCAGATAAGCGCAGACACGCACACACCCATGCGCGCGCGTAACACCGAGCCCGGCGTTCACAGACACTCCATTAGCCGTCGCGGAGTGGCGACACTAGCCCGAGGCTGGCCGCTCGGACGTCTTACTGGTCGTCTTTGATAGCCAGCTCCAGCAGCTGTCGAAAAACGGGACCGAAGCGTCAGCAAGATGCAAAATAAAACAGGTTGGAACATATGACACTAGCAGCACAATCAGCGATAACGGGTTTGGTTACCAAACGCAAAACAAGGAAGTTGTTCAATCAGTGCAGTTTATTGGAAGAACCATATCACGTGAAAATAAAAGGCCAAAATAAAATGCGCGATATAATTTTCCTCCAAGGTCGCTGAGTAACGGTCAAATGATGGAAAACGAGCTAATTAATCAATATAACGGATCTCTACACTTAGCTGGTTACCAGAAGAAAAAAATCCATGAGAATATCGGCTTCAACCCCACAAAACAAAACACTCAAACAGAAACGCAATACGGTACTAACCGGCTGTTAGTGGATAGGTCTCGTAGGATGATAATTGAGACATCTCCGGATGCCTGTTTGTCTCACCTGGGTTACGTGGGCGTAGGACAGGACTAGGAGCGACAGTGAGGATCAGCGGTACTGGAGCGTGTACATGCCGTTCGCGTTTCGAACCCAGCTCGCCTGGTGACGGATGGAACACCAGGGCGCGACGAAAGGAAGCAGTTCAGGTAACACATCGGTAAACCAGCTATAATATCATGTGTGAGATGGACCACATGGTTTAGTTCAAAAAGCAACTGGAATGTGGAAAGTTAAGCAAAGCAGGGAAACTGCTATGGATCAGCCGCCCACTAAGAGAGAGCAAATGTTACTTCATACACTCCGGCTTAGTAATTTCTGTGCAAGTATTTCCATAGTCCGTGCAGGAGATACCACTTGGAAATGGTTGACACTTGAATCTAAGATGCAATGGAATAAAGGCTTTTACATAAACACGACCACGGCCCTTCAGCACGACCCCACCCACCATCACCACCAACAGCGCCACCTACCTCCTCCTCATCGTCGACCTCATCATCTGATCCGATCTCGGAGGGCGCCGGCGTGGTGGAGCGCGACGTGGTCGGACTGGGCGGCTCGCTGAGGGGCCGCGGGTAGCTCATGCGGCCGCCGTGCTCCTCCGAGACGGCCATCTCCGGGTAGACGGCGTGCAGCGCCAGCTGACGCGCGCGCCGGTAGTACTGCGGTGGGGGAAAGGTCACGTGGTCAGGCGGTGTGGGTTGTACTGAGATCAACGAGGGGAGGGGGAGGTCACGTGACTAAATGGTGCACTGAGCACGTGGCACTGAGGCGAGCAACAGGAGCTCGAATGTCATAAATGGTGGTCTCTGCCTGGAAACCAGGAGGAGCGGACAAGCCAGCGCGATTACATAGCGGTGTATGCCGATCTGGCTCGCATTGTGAAATAATGACATATACTCATATACTGTCCAAGACATTTACGTTATATCATTGAAAAGCAGGCATTGTAATATTGATAGAAGGTTCTAACTCGATCCTCAACACCAAGACTTAACTTTTCTGCAGCGATTCCCTCTCCAATTCTTTTTTATAGGAGGATCTATTCCCTGTCAGAGTAGACAATTTCCCCCATCCAACGCATCTACCAGTCACCGCTGTGCCACTCACGATGCCCAGGTTGCGCCAGTCGAGCAGGTCGCTGAGCCGCTCTGTACGGTTGCGCTGGATGATCCGCTGGCGCCGGTTCAGCCGCGTGAAGTCGTACATGTACTTGGCCAGCTCGCGGATCGAGTCCTCCAGGCCGATACTGCGCCGGTCCACGATGTAGATGCCGTACGACATCGGGTCGGCTATGTGCTCCGACATGAAACAGCCGAACCCTGTCGAGAAGGAACGGGTTAGATGTCTTATGGTCGGAGCAGACAAAGGCATGGTTTAGGCTAGTTTATCAAACAACAATGCTGCAAAATAAAACAATCGACAGTCAATTATTCCAGCCAACGAACACAAGTTATTGAGGACAAATATTGAACTCTATAATTCAGCTTGGCCTCCACTTTGTAGCGGTTTTGTTTCGGAGGGATCTGTCGCCGACTCACAAGAGAGGCTAACAACCAGTATAACGCCTTTTGGGGCGACTAACGGAGCGAGCGAGAGGGTGGGCCTTGCACGTGCGAAATTGCGAGGGGGTACCTCCAACTGACTTGTGCACGGCACCCTACTAACTGGTCTCTAGCGATGTGCCAAATTTGGGCACAATCGGCCCAGCCGTTATCGAGATCTGGAAGCGGCACCCTGCACGTGCGCACGTGCAAAATTGGTCCCAACTGACTTGTGCACGGCACCCTACTAACCGGTCCCTATCCGTGTACCAAATTTGAGCGCAATCGGTCCAGCCGTTCCCGAGATCTGGAAACGACCCCTGCACGTGCGCACGTGCAGCAGCACCCCAACTCTGGCACATGGATATGCAGTGCCTAGTGGGTGCCTACCTACATGCCAACTTTCAGCGCAATCGGCCAAGTAGTTACCGAGATATTGCAACAATTACAAAACTGACACCTCTTCGTTTTGCACGTGGCACGTGCATAAGGGGTCACCCACATGCATCGGGAATAGTCCAATACTTGGTAGAAGGAATGAAGCTACCCTACAAAAATTACCGCGTGTAAATCGGTCAAGTGGTTGCTGAGATATAAGCCTCGCAAAAGCGTGACCACGGCCGGCCGGCCGCTCATACTCAGAAATTTCCGTTAATCTAAGGAAAGACTACGCTCGCTTCGCTCGCTCCGTAACCATGGATAGCATGCCAAGAGTTTGTTGCCATCTACATTCCACGGTCAACCACTGCGCCGTCATCGAAAGCACGTCATCTGGCACTCACCGGAGAGGTTTGTGGTCATGGACGGTATGCCCATGACGGTGCACTCTGCCGGCGTGTAGCCCCACGGCTCGTAGTAGGACGGGAACACGCCCATGTGACAGCCGCGCACAAACTCCTCGTAGTCCATACCGAGCAGAGGGTTGGTGTGCGACAGGAACTCGGGGTGGAACACCACCTGGGAACGCGGTCACGGAGGTCAGTTGGGAAGGTATGGTACCAAAAACTAGGACAGTACCTGTCAAATTTCGGCAGGGTGGTCCAGTGTCCAAAATACCAAGTAGCAGCAAGGAACAAATTCTTGCAACTAAAAGTAAATCGACGCCCTTATTCAACGAATATGTGGTACGAGCATATTTGCAATAAATTCAAACAAAAATTTGTTTCCTCTGAGGTGAGATTGAAGCTGCACGAATATCAGTCCCATTGATACTTGGTTAGCATCAATGGTTAGCCTACGCAGTTTTCACAAGGTCAGCCGAGCCCACCCCTCCGTCCCAGTCGCCTGGCCCCGATCCAGCGATGACGTCTTTCGGCCGTAACTCTCGCCAAACTATGCTACGCGTCTGGCCTTGACCAAATCGCACCCAAACCCACACTTATTTTCACCATGGCCAAGCCAATGACCCGAACCCCAAAACAAACGAAGGGAAAGAATCTTAAAAGGAAAACAAGCAAAACAAAACAGTCTATATCATAAGCATGTGCATGCCTAGCGCTATTCGATCGTACGACTAGGCACCAGGGATGTCTGACTATCGTTTAATCACGCGAATGTGCCGGTCCGAGAGAAGCCGAATCAGTCCAGAAAACCCAGCGGCAGTCCTATAATAGGCTCGATATTGACATCGCTACGTCACGCCCCGTTTGCCTAACTTCCATCAAATACCCCAAAATAGTTAGATGATAAGCCTATCATCATTTCTCCCCTGACCTATTGTTTGTGCCGAGCATGGCAATACAGAGCTACGCCATACAGGTCACACTTCATCAATCATCAGTTGGATGACCCTGAAGGCACACCAACCCACCTTGACTCTGTCGGATTTGTCGTTGAAGAGGTGGCAGCGCCGTAGCGAGCGGAGCACCGGGTCCTCGCCGTCATTGACCACGTTGTGTGTGGTGATAGGAGGCAGACAGGAGCGCTGCATCGAGTAGATACACCGCTTCAGGCGGACGTTGTCCTCTCGCGTCAGCAGCTCTGTGCTCTCGGGAAGACGACCGCTGCCGGAGGCACGCCATAGAACGGGTGTTAGCCAATCAAACGGCGAATCACTGACGGCGTCACGTCACAGTTCGGGTGGTGAGCCAATCAGTTGACGGAAATACATGACGTCAGAGGACAGAGAGAAGTATTGCGTAAATTTCAGAGGAGCACTGATTCTAATCTATTCAAATAACATCGTTTTAACGGTGCTACAATGGCGGCCTGCTCGCAGCACCTGACTACACTTTTTGCGTCCGTGTCTTTGCCCGTTATGCCATTGAACATTCCTAACGCTGTCTTATTGAGAAAGCTACATCGCTCACAACTATTTCTAGAAGCAGAATAATTCATCGCCATCCTACCACCGACACTCACGTCTTGTTTGTTTATTGGGGCTTTAGGGCGCGTCAACTGCAAAGGTCATTTTGCGCCCACGACACTCACGTCATGCAGATCTCGAACATTCGGCTGCCGATCTTCTTCTGAATATCCTCGATGGAGTCTTTGAGCGTCTTGGTGACGGCGTGGCCGCGCAAGCTCTCCACGTTGAAGTTGTTGGTCTTGGTGGGGAAGATCATGAACGCGACGACCGTTACGTCCGAGCCTGAGCTCTGCAGGTGCAGGGAACATGTGCGATGTCATGACATTGCGACTCATGGAGATATCAGCAATTGTTAAAATGATTGCATAGACGAACCATTTCATGAAATAATTGTATGACGTGATAGGCATATGAAGTAATATGCCTAGTGGTCAGGACGTGAGTCCAGGCAAGACGACTCGAAAAAATATTTGGAAGGCCTAATTCCATTTCGTACCGTATCTTACCAGTATAACGCCTTATGGGGCGACTAACGGAGCGAGCGAGAGGGTGACCATTGCACGTGCGAAATTTCGAAGGGGTACCTCCAGCTGACTTGTGCACGGCACCCTACTAACCGGTCTCTAGCGATGTGCCAAATTTGAGCACAATCGGCCTAGCCCTTCTCGAGATCTGGAAGCGGCACCCTGCACGTGCGCACGTGCAAAATGGGTCCCAACTGACTTTTGCACGGCACCCTACTAACCGGTCCCTAACCATGTACCAAATTTGAGCGCCATCGGTCCAGCCGTTCTCGAGATCTGGAATCGACCCCTGCACGTGCGCACGTGCAGCAGCACCCCAACTCTGGCACATGGATGTGCAATTGTGCATTGCCTAGTGGGTGCCTACCTACCTACATGCCAACTTTCAGCGCAATCGGCCAAGTAGTTACCGAGATATTGCAACAATTACAAAACTGACACCTCTTCGTTTTGCACGTGGCACGTGCATAAGGGGTCACCCACATGCATCGGGAATAGTCCAATACTTGGTAGAAGGAATGAAGCTACCCTACAAAAATTACCCCGTGTAAATCGGTCAAGTGGTTGCTGAGATATAAGCGTCGCAGAATGGCCGGCCGGCCGCTCATACTCAGAAATTTCCGTTATTCTACGTAAGACTCCGCTCAGTTCGCTCGCTCCGTAACTACAAACATTACCACCAGTATAGCGCCTTTTGGGGCGACTAACGGAGCGAGCGAGAGGGTGAGCCTTGCACGTGCGAAATTTCGAGGGGGTACCTCCAACTGACTTGTGCACGGCACCCTACTAACCGGTCTCTAGCGATGTGCCAAATTTGAGCACAATCGGCCCAGCCGTTCTCGAGATCTGGAAGCGGCACCCTGCACGTGCGCACGTGCAAAATGGGGCCCAACTGACTTTTGCACGGCACCCTACTAACCGGTCCCTAACCATGTGCCAAATTTGAGCGCCATCGGTCCAGCCGTTCTCGAGATCTGGAATCGACCCCTGCACGTGCGCACGTGCAGCAGCGCCCCAACTCTGGCACATGGATATGCAGTGCCTAGTGGGTGCCTACCTACATGCCAACTTTCAGCGCAATCGGCCAAGTAGTTACCGAGATATTGCAACAATTACAAAACGGACACCTCTTCGTTTTGCACGTGGCACGTGCATAAGGGGTCACCCACATGCATCGGGAATAGTCCAATACTTGGTAGAAGGAATGAAGCTACCCTACAAAAATTACCGCGTGTAAATCGGTCAAGTGGTTGCTGAGATATAAGCCTCGCAAAAGCGTGACCACGGCCGGCCGGCCGGCCGGCCGGCCGGCCGCTCATACTCAGAAATTTCCGTTAATCTAAGGAAAGACTACGCTCGCTTCGCTCGCTCCGTAATTACCAGTATAACGCCTTTTGGGGCGACTAACGGAGCGAGCGAGAGGGTGGGCCTTGCACGTGCGAAATTGCGAGGGGGTACCTCCAACTGACTTGTGCACGGCACACTACTAACTGGTCTCTAGCGATGTGCCAAATTTGGGCACAATCGGCCCAGCCGTTCTCGAGATCTGGAAGCGGCACCCTGCACGTGCGCACGTGCAAAATGGGTCCCAACTGACTTGTGCACGGCACCCTACTAACCGGTCCCTAACCGTGTACCAAATTTGAGCGCAATCGGTCCAGCCGTTCCCGAGATCTGGAAACGACCCCTGCACGTGCGCACGTGCAGCAGCACCCCAACTCTGGCACATGTATATGCAGTGCCTAGTGGGTGCCTACCTACATGCCAACTTTCAGCGCAATCGGCCAAGTAGTTACCGAGATATTGCAACAATTACAAAACTGACACCTCTTCGTTTTGCACGTGGCACGTGCATAAGGGGTCACCCACATGCATCGGGAATAGTCCAATACTTGGTAGAAGGAATGAAGCTACCCTACAAAAATTACCGCGTGTAAATCGGTCAAGTGGTTGCTGAGATATAAGCCTCGCAAAAGCGTGACCACGGCCGGCCGGCCGGCCGGCCGGCCGCTCATACTCAGAAATTTCCGTTAATCTAAGGAAAGACTACGCTCGCTTCGCTCGCTCCGTAATAATCCACTCCGATCAAGTCACAGAACGTAGAACTCCGCGTTCGTAATGTCACAAAAACTAAAACGAAGCACAGGGTGTATGCGCTAAATCCACAGACAGAAAAAATACAAATGTTTTTAACTACAAAACAATTACAAATGTATCCACCTTGAGGTAGTGGTTGAGCCGAGAGAGTGACTCGATGAAGATATCGGCTCCCTTGTTTCCAAACTCATAACGACCAGCGATGAAGAAGTACAGCGTCTTGTCAAGATTGAAGTCAAAGTGACTGCAACATGCAACAGAAAATGAGAAGGATAACAGTTGAAAGTTACCTACGCCTTATTCATTCAGAAAGGATACGCTACTCACGCCAAACGGACCACATTATATTTTAGCTTGGAATAAAACCTACGCCTTATACATTAATCATAGATAACAGGGAATCCAGAAAAGCACAAAAATGCAACACATTGAACTTCATATGCCTGAAAAATGTCGCTGACTGGCGTAAAACATGATTATTTTGAGTTTCAAATAACCTGAAGGTGTTGGAACGCATCGGTATCGAGACGGGTGACCAGTGCCAACGTCAACTCACCCGTAGAAGTGGCCGCGGACGAAGTCGTTGATCTTGGCTTTGCTGAGGGCGTGCAAGTTCTGGAATTCGTGCAGCGCGGAGAACTTCTTCACGTTCAGACCATTCGGAGTCACAATGTCTGGCTTCCTGGCCGCGGGATAGAAAGAGGTATAAGTAAAAAGGAGATCATACACACACAAAAACAGTGATGTCATGGCAATGAAATGAAACCGACTCCCGATTCATTTCGAGATACACAATGTCATATGACTTCAATTAGCGCACTTGATCAAACTCTGCGACATTACGGCAACATTGTCACAAGCATCGTAAATAATTGGTAAATAAGCAAAAGAATACCTCTAACCCCGTATGTAACCCTGGTACTCTCAAACACCACCCCGTCCCTCCCCTTTTGCGTACCTCTTGAGCAGATGCTCGGCCTCCAGTCCGGTGATCTCGGAGACGGTTGTGAACGTGTGACAGAGGTGGGTGGACGCCCGCTCCATGCAGTACCGGTGGTAGATCTGACGCTTACCAGCCTCCTCGTCAATGTTGAACTGGGGAATACGTACAAACACAGGAAAACAAGGTCAACTGACACGTTCGCCTACGCACAAGGATTATCACTGGCTCAGTTATGTTCAATAGTTTGAACAGTAAACACGATGGAGGAGTTCACGTTGACTTTTTCGAACAAAATACAAAGCAGTGATATTTGAATTGGGTTTAGCTAAAATCGTACAAAACTAATAGCAAAGGCGAAGGCGAAAGACGAACATTAGCAGACAAGCATAGTAAAACTACTAAAACTCCACCAGCCTCCACTAAACGGGAAACAGCAATTCGACAAATCATTTATCATCCGAGCTCATAATCAAACAAAAACTTTCCCCAGCTCCTCTCAGTTCCCTGTCCGCACTCACATAGGGCAGGTTGTTGTAGAAGTCGGTATTTCCGGCGCAGAGGAAGCGTCCCAGCAGCGTGGCGTGTGTCGTGAACACGGTAGCCAGGTCAATCTTCCTGAGCCGGGCCAGGATGAGACCGACACCGGCCAGCCACTCGTGGAAGTGCGCCACCATGCGCGGAGGGCCATCGGTGAACTCCGGCAGTCGGTTACGGAACTGGGAGGGCAGATCAGACGTCAGACAGACAGAAGGGTTATTGAGTGTGACGCTGTTATGTCATACATCGGGCGGTGAACGGTGACTGTTGTGAGCGGCGGTATGTTGGGGTGACAGTAGAGTGTCAATGATACGGTAGGTTGGTATTGGGCACTGTCAGTCATTGTGGTGACGGTTATGTGAAATTACTGGAGCGTGAAGTGAGTGGCTCGTGTGACAGGTGTCGGTGGGATGTCAACATCCATACGTACCGGCAACTTTGTGTAAATACTAAATAGCCGTCAATCAGTTCGGATCGAGAAATACACAGCCAATGGGACGGTGCAGGCAGAAGAGAGATTAGGTAGGATAAGAAAGAAGGAAGTCGGTGTTTATCGAAGTGAAAAATTGTGACGGGCCGAAAAGGTGGCAAATTGTAATCACAGTACTAATTATTACGGTAAACATGGGCAGGTGCTCATTTTATCAACAAGAGTTACACAGCCATAAACACGATGGGATTTGTAGAAGATTGCTACCTTCTCGCACCACGAAGGTTCTATTCGGAACAATCTCTTGCCATCCTCTCTTTCTCCCGCTAATGACCATTCTATTTGCTCAGCACTATCACCAAGTCACCGTCTTTGGGCTGACCCTGTCTCAGACGGCACGACCCACATTCCCGTCTGAGACGCGACCAAACATCGGCCAAAGTCTGCCCAATCCCAGAGGAGCGGTGGCCCTGGCCCACCGGCGCGCCCACAGAGGATAAAAACACGCCGTGGTAAGGGAAACGTACGAAGAGTGTTTTGTGGGTTGGCAAATACTGTCCGAGGTAGCGTGTCAGTGCTGCGTGTAGATTGGTTTGGCGGATATTCCGGCACACATCTGAACTGATATCTAAATCCATCTAGCCTCGTACTATTCCATAATAGATTAATCTTGGCCCGCCCTCGCTTGATATCTGACTTTATAGACAGCAAGCGGGAATGAGTCTCCCAAGAATATCTTATGAGTTATGACTTATTACCACATAGTTACAGCAAAGAACCGAGGCCATATACGAGTAAGTTCGTCTCATAGCCTTATTCGCCCCGTACCCCTCAGTGTTTTCCGCTGCGGGCCGCACCTGCTGAAGGAACTCTGCCACCATGTAGCCGAAGACGACGGCGTCGTTGCACTCGACGTCCGGGTTGGGGATGCCGATGCCGGCCAGGTTCCACAGCTCGTCCTTCATCTCGTTCATCTTCCATGACGCCGAGCCGACGTCGAAGAGGATGATCTGCGGGTTGCCGTCCACAAGCCAGCGGCCTGTGACCACCTGCGGACGATGGACGAGGAAAGAGAGAAGTAAGTCAGGGTGGTTATTTCTATTGTATATTACGAGGAAAGGGAGGCGTCAGTCAATGATGGCTCGCAGTCGACTAAAACAGACGCAATCACGACGGAACTATGTTGAAATAACGCGAAGGATGTTTGGAGTGAGATTACGAAACACCGCAGGCAGGCTTAGCGGTGGGGTTGCATCATGATCGCGGTTAGAATTTCCTTCACTGTGACCAGTAGAGTACCATGGACGAACTCGATCATACGACAAACTCGAAAGAAGCGATTTGACATTCCATAGACGGCTGGACGGTGAGACCGATTTTTTTGGAGGCAGCGCTCGTACAAATATTTATCATACATGTCAGGGGCTGACAGATACCGCGCAGGGAACGCCCTCACACCAGCGCGGCTGAAGGTTACATAACGCCAATGCGATGCCAGCAAAGCGGAGACACGCACCTCAACGCAAGCGTCAGCAATTCACAAATGAAAATCCTACCTAACTCGACCAGCCGGCACTCTAGTCACGATAGTTAACAATCATGACAATGTGAAATGTCAACCATCGTGACTATCGTTAACAATCACAACATGAATGAAACTATCACTCCCGCCTGATATCCCGTACCTTCCATCCCTGTTCTCTGAGCGATGACACGACCGCGTGGAAGACGCTGCCCTCGGGGTACTCGAAGGGCTCGATCTCGGTGCGCGCCTGGTGCTCCTTGTAGGGCCCCAGCAGACAGTACTGGTCGCCCCACTCCTCCACTGTCACATTGCACTTGGACCGGATAACGGTGTAGATTCCTCCGACTGAAACCAGACGTAGGTATTTATGATACAGGTCTGGACCATGTGGAATGTTTACGCTGAAACTGAGCGAGTGATTATTCATGCACGTGGCAACACTGCACGTGGAAGCACTCGGCAACGGTGATCAGCCGTTCGAATCGTGAGCGCCGAGCTTGGCAGACCGGAAAATGGTCAAGGGAGTATTTATAGCGTAGCAACGGAACCCAGCCAATGATCTGTCGAAAGTGGCATATCCCACGGACAAGCAGCATGGGTTCGGCACTTCGGGTCACTGAAATGTAAACCATGCTGTCCAAATAAGGACTCGACATCACGTGATGTGCATGCACCAAGCAGTGTGCATTTCTTCCATCGTCAGCACAGGACTGTGTTGGGCCTCCCGCCACCAAAACCAGCAAACTATGAGTCTTCATCAATGAGGTGTTTTCTATACAATATGATGACAAAGTGATAAGCCCGTACGTAGTAATCTGCCATACTCATCTCAAGTCGCCACAATCTCAATGAATAATTGCATGATTCGCATTAAAAAGCTAGAAAACAAAGTTGATCCCGGGGTCACAAGACAACGTAAGTCAAAGACAAGAGTGTAATATCAACAACTTCCTTTTAGAATAGCATGTAAGAATAAGATCTAATCGCGTTATTTTCAGAATTTCGAAGCATGGAAGCCATCCGTCCCCATCCACGATCGATCCCATTGCGTCAGCACCGACCCACACGCGGGCAGACGGGCCAGGAATGGGTGTGCTGGGGTGGGGGAGGGGTAAGGGGGCGTGTCGGAGGATCGCCCGAGCGGCGGACGCCGGTGAAAACAGGGCGCCGGAGGGCATATTAGTCACGTGACATTTGGAACCTCTCCCGCTCCATGGGCCTTCCATGTGCCAAACGTCACGTGTAAATTTCACGAACCTTGATCAAATCGCCCCAGGCGCCCTGTTTTCACCGTCGTCCCGAGCGGCGGCGGCGCGGTGGCCGGCCGCGGGCACAGTCCCGACGCAGCCGATCGGACTCAGCGATCGTGTCACGTGACTAGCGTACAGACGGCCGGGGCGCCGGTGGCCGTGTCACGTGACTGACGTACAGACGGCGGCCGCTGCCAGCCGGGTGACCTTGTGGCGTCGGCTGACGGGGGCGCCATGTGACCGGCGCCCACCAGAGGACGGTCAGGCGCCCGTCCGGACCCGGGCCAACGCCGCCGCACGACATCAGCCAGCTATTACGGCACGCTATAAGGTGACGTAGTTGAACTAATGATACCCAACATTTCATCAGAGCAAAGTTATATCCGACAACGATTCAAACATGGTTGATGGTAGAAATGATCCATGGATAAAAAGAATATAAACCATCAAGCAAAAGCAACGACAAATTAATCGTATCTACGGGCACGTCACATGCATGATCTCAACTGGGAGTAAAAAAACTCTTGAGTTTTAACATTTTGGACACACGTCATTGGCTGCATTCCGTTGCCACGCTATAAATACTCTCGAAACCATTTTCCGGTCTGCCAAGCTCGGCGCTCAAGACTCGCAAGGCTGATCACCGTTGCCGAGTGCGGCCACGTGCAGTGTTGCCAAGGAAGTGCATGGATAATCATCTACATACACAATGATTGACATCTTGAAGTTCTTTTCAGAAAGTTGAAGCCAAAAGGCACAGTTGCAGCTGAAAACACCGAAGTAAAGGAATAAACACCAAGTGGACGTTACTCAAACCCACAAATTAGACAAGAGCAAACACTCATTAATCAAGTCAGTCCTGTAACTCAGTGTCCGTCTCGTAGCTCTGTTAGCAGTAAGCTGGACTCCCGGTGATGAGGGTAGGCAGACAACTGAACCAGTGACAACTGAACCAGGGACAACTGAACCAGTAAAACTGAATCAGGGACAACTGAACCAGTGACAACTGAGCCAGTGACAACTGAACCAGCGACAACTGAACCAGTGACAACTGAACCAGCGACAACTGAACCAGTGACAACTGAACCAGTGACAACTGAACCAGGGACAACTGAACCAGTGACAACTGAACCAGTGGACAACTGAACCAGTGACAACTGAACCAGTGACAACTGAACCAGTGACAACTGAACCAGTATGACAACTGAACCAGTGACAACTGAACCAGTGACAACTGAACCAGTGACAACTGAACCAGTGACAACTGAACCAGTGACAACTGAACCAGTGTCCAGTGGACAACTGAACCAGTGACAACTGAACCAGCGGACAACTGAACCACCGGACAACTGAACCAGCGGACAACTGAACCAGTGGACAACCAATGTCGTACTGCGCTGTATAAGCATAAGGTAGCGGGTGGCTGGACGGACGGTCTGTGCCAATTTGCCGGTCTGCCAATTGATCTGTGTCCGATCTATTAGAGTGTCCGTCCGAGAGCCGTACGACGGCTGACAGGGCTGACAGCTAGCCTGGTGGTCGCGAACTGGTGTGGCAACCGTTACGCCCACCTGGGACGCCCGAATAGTTAGCAACGTATAAATGATATTCACTTTGATGGCCTAACTCGGGACAGACAGGGCACGCAACGTGGGCTTGGCAGAGTTCAGCCCGCCTGGGCCCAGAGGAATCTCCGGTATATAAATGGATTCACTGCTCGGGCTTATATCGGGCTTACGCCAAACGTCGCACAACTAGGGCTAAACAACGGCTGTCCTGAGCTCGCCGAGAGGCCCAGAGGGCATACCTCCGGCAGAGCATGGGCTTTAGTCGGCGTTTTTTGTGTCATACGCCGACTTTAGTCTTTAGCCCAAGCTCGCTAGCCGACTTTAGTCCAAGCGCTAGCCGACTTTAGCCCGACTAAAAATCTCGGGCAAGCCGCACTCCAGCTTGATTGGGCCCGGAGTAAAATTGCTTGCTGGGCTACTGGTTAGTGGTTCAGTTGTCACTGGTTCAGTTGTCCACTGGTTCAGTTGTCCACTGGTTCAGTTGTCACTGGTTCAGTTGTCACTGGTTCAGTTGTCTACTGGTTCAGTTGTCCACTGGTTCAGTTGTCCACTGGTTCAGTTGTCTACTGGTTCAGTTGTCACTGGTTCAGTTGTCCCTGGTTCAGTTGTCACTGGTTCAGTTGTCACTGGTTCAGTTGTCCCTGGTTCAGTTGTCACTGGTTCAGTTGTCCCTGGTTCAGCTGTCACTGGTTCAGTTATCCCTGGTTCAGTTGTCACTGGTTCAGTTGTCCTGGTTCAGTTGTCACTGGTTCAGTTGTCATGGAACCGTGATGAGAGCCCGGATTCGGCTCACTCTGGCGATCGATATACGAGACGTCTGAAAGGAATGGCCTGCGGTTGGTGGGGAAAGCTGCAGCCAGTTGAAGTCAGTTGAATGGGACGGATCGTGACCGGCTTTCATGGGAACGCCTACACCTTTTTGACACCTAAATTCCTCCGTTACCCGGAATTTCCCGAAAAGACGGTAGGGGTCGGGGGACTGCGCAGCAAGCTTTGCTTCCAGTGGGCTCTGACCCTGACTTTGTCCATTGGTCCATTCAGACATTCGGCTAAAATATATAAAACACTGGGTTCGCGTCCTCAATATGCGTATAAGGGTGTTGCAACGAGTAGTTGAGCATTGGATTCATACCTAGCGGGTTTCGAATATTTCCTCTAAAATCACAACGGTCGATTATAGCGAATGTTTAAAAGCAGTTTTGTCTAAAAGCATGGTGTACCCGAATCCCCCCCCCCCGTTTCGGGTACACAATGAATTAGATATGGCACATAGCAAAGGTAAAAAGACTACCCCGATCGCCTCCTACGTCAAAGTAAGGTCAAAATTGCACATTATTTCGATGTAATCGGGGGCTTGAAAAAACCAAATTTTAGCGGGCCTGCCGCCCAAAACGTTGGGCATGTTCACGGTCTAAGACATTCTGACTCATTCACTGGCTTCCGAGTACCGGCGCGGGGGCTGCTTCCATCAACCGCAAACCACCCCTTCAAGCGAATCATCTATCAGGCACAGAATCGTATATCGAGCGGTATGAACGTACGGTATAAGCGTATCAGCAAAATACTCGAGTGGTATAAACGTAAGAATCTTGATATCAAACTGGGATTGGGCCCTCACCAGCAAGAATCAGAAACTACCAAATGAGTAATAAATGGTGCATCTATGATTTGCCAAAGTTGTGATTAGGTGTCAGGTCAATTTTATTAAGACCACCATCGCTGTTTAAAAGAAAACACTCCAAGCCTAAAACTTAAAAAAGCAGACCAATGAATGAATATCTAGCAAGTACATAGGTATGCATGTATGGATGTGACATTACTACAAATACTTCATTTGGAGCTCACTAAAAATCATCTAGCCTGGCAATGGAGTAGAAGATAGATTTACTTTAAACTTCATTCAAATTGAGGTGTAATAAAGGAGACACCATGAGTAGGTATCATGAAAGACTAGGAGCAGCACAGTGTAGGATGGACTATTCAAAAATGAGGTAGTGATGAAAGGGGTTGTCATGATGTTTTGCCTCTATGAACTTACACTGAACTACTGAGCCAGAGGGTAAAGCTGAAGGACAATATTAAGCCTTAAAAAGACCATTTGGTTGTGAATAGCACTCCTAGGTGTCACACTGTAGCAGGCTGTCTGCTTTTCAGTTCATGAATCAAACAATTTTTAACTTAGCTGATGCAACTAATGACCAAACAGTTCAAAATAGGTATGTCAATCTACTTTTAGCCTGAAATGTTTAAATAGAGATAAATTCTACCTCAACTCCTTCTTAACATGTAAAGCCCTTTTTTGACATGGAAAATTTATCATGCAAATTCATATAGCTCAATCAAAAAGTCTGAAGCAACCAAAAGCATGGTGTACTGCACACATTGTATATATCCACAAACGAAAATGGCCATATTACTAGCAACCAAGAACATTGTGTATTACACACAATGTATATAAAAGGAAAAATGATGATATAATTAAAAAATCAAGATATAAAAATTATTCACAATAAAATAAGTAAGCAGGTAGTGTGAACTGTTAGCATCTGCCTTTATTAATATGCATCAACACTACAATGAACGGAACCCTATGAATAAATTGAGGCGTGTAATTAAATGAAAAAATACTATAGCCATTCTGAAAAAAAATACAGGAAATAATTTCATGTCCCAGCTGCTAGTCCTGGCCAAGGTCCTGGCTTACCTTTATTTGCTGCCTCATGACTGACCTCAAACAGCCATTGATTGGTTTCCGAAGCTTCTTTGCCCTTGTCTAAGAAAAGATCGTGTAAACTATCAGACCGGTAAAATCTCTTATTGAATTTTCCAGCCATTAGGAATTAGGTAGTTGATGTAGTCAGCACATGCACTGTAACGAATAATAATTAAAACGTTGCTTCACCAAATTCAGTCACACCTGTCTGTGTCACAGCACGCTCAATTTCTTCAAAACTGGCACGTCAATCTTCTCAGGCACTGGTAAAATGTACCATTGAATAGTATACTCAATTATTTCTATTTTTATTAATTTTTAATCAGATGCACCAACAAATTCAGCTTCAGACGAGCGCCCCAGACACCCCACTCCGCTGCCTGTCTCAAAGATTTGACAGCAGCGGCGGGGGGCGGAGACAAACGAAAAGGAAGGTGCGTCAAGGTCAAAGACCAGTCACTAAAACGCTGCAATCTTTTACAAAACAGCAAGTCTAAACCAAGTCTAAACGGCGCAAAGCATTCATTGTTTTAGAGAGGTCTGAAAAACAGCACGCAAAATAGTCTGAATTAACTCGTATTTCAAAAAGGCCAGTGAAAATGGTCTAAGATGTTCAGGTGACAGGTTAGGCTAGGTAAAGTAAGGTGAGTAGGAAAGGTTGTTTTTATGACCATGTTCTTTTCATACTGGATTTAAATACACCTACACCCTCGCCTATACGAGTCGAAGAAGATACTTGACTTGAGCGAGAGCTCAAGTATTCCTACAATATAGGCTCAGGTCAGGGCGGAAGGAGACGGGGAGAAGAGATGATCCCCTCGTTCCGGGCTATTAGTCACAAGAAGGCCATGGCCGTCCTTTTATTACCCGATTGTTTTTAGTTTTCTTTTAAAGTTGTTTGTGAAAGAGAGCATGTTTGTGAAAGAGAGCAGCACCATTAGTACACCAAACTTTGGATCCCTTGGGACCGTCACCCTCGGCGCTTGTTCACACCCAGGTCCCAACACCCAACCCCTTACCCAATTAGTCCTGGCGTGGCTTGGGCCGGCAGTGCCGCGGAGCCTGAGGGATGCTTGACGCGGAGTGTCGTGCTCCTTTTTACGCTTTTTTTGGACCATCATTGCATATTTTTAAAGTTATGCAGATGTTTGCTGCGAATGCTCCTATTTATTCAATACAAATGCTCATCAATAAGTACAAATGTGCAATACGGGCTGCAGTAGGTAAGCCGCTTACGTCCAGCTCAGCCTCAGCACCAAGCGTCACAGCGCCATCAGTGGCGGCGGAAGCAGGGGGGCAAGGGGGGCAGCTGCACCCTAAAGCTATGGAAAGGGGCGCCTCGAAAATCTGTAGAGGAGGAAGAGGTGCGGCAGCCATAAAGCTGAGCAGTGCGACACCGCAACTGATAAAGGCAGTGACTTGTGACACGAAGAGGGTGGCAATGACGTGGGAAAAGTATCTTTTAATATGCTGAAGAGTGGAGGGCATCCTTATCTGAAGCAAAGGCAGATGCTGCCGACCCTGTCGAATATAATCTTGCCAGGCGATAAAGGTTAGGAGGGCGCAGCCACTCGAGAAGCGCGCCATGCGGAAGAGGGGCGCCTGCATGCGAAAGAGGGGCGCGAGGTCCGAGATTGGGGCCTGTAAAATTGCACTGTCCGTATGGGCGGTTACATCCCTAGTGCTAGGGCGTATTTTGCGTTTTTTTTTTTTTTAACTGGGGAGAAGATTATGACCAGGAATAGCACTCTGCAACTTCTATGGGCGCCTGTATAGGGGCGAAACTGATTTTCCAGTGCAGGGACGGCCATCGGCATTGTGGGGCGGCATTCATTCCACTGGGGCGTCTGCCAGTGTTAAAGGGCGGTATTCATTTCAATGGGGCGCCCGTTGGTGTTGATGGGCGACATGTATCACCTGGGGCGCCTATCGGAGATTGGGGCGGCATTAATTTCACTGAGGCGCCTATCGGCGTTGACGGGTGGTATTTATTCATCCGGGGCGCTTATCGGTGGTATAGGCCGGCATTCGCTTCACTGAGGTGCCTATCGGTGTTTTAAGGCGGCAGTAAATCCACTGGTGTCTGGGGCGCCTACCGGCGTCGAAAGGCGACATTCATAATTCATTTCACTGGGAGGCATATTGGTGTTGATGTGTAACATTCATTCTCCTAGGGGGCCCGGCAATGAGGGGGCGGCATTTATTCCGTTCCCCTGGGATGGGCCCCTATCGGTGTGGAGGCGTCGCCGTCGTATTAGTTTGAAATGGGGGCACTCTGGGTGGTAATAGATGCATTCATTTCACTGGGACACCTACCAGCGTTGATTGCCTGTATTCATTCATTTCGGGCTCCTATCGGTGTTGAAAGGCGGCATTTATTTCACTGGGGCGTCACAAACCTGCTACCCCACCATAAACCTCAGCCTATTCACTTCACGTTAGCAGTAACTAGAAGTCTCTTAGTCTCAGCATAGAGTCTCGGGTTCCGAAGGGCTGACGTGATACTGATGACACCACTGAATGCAATAGTGCAGTGCAGCCCAGGCGGCATGCTGCTTACCGGCCTGCAATTCTCTGTCACCGAGTTAGTGTTATGGATTCGGCGCCTTATTCACTAGTCCACACGAAGTATTGGAACCGTGGAACTCTTTTTGATATGCCTTATTCGGAGAATCTTATGATATGGTGATGAGGTTGTTTCTAAACGAACATTATGAAGGCAGGGTTACTTTTACAGGAAAAGTTGAGAGGGGGAATAAAGTTCGGGGCAAAGGCGGATCCAGGGGCATCTGAAAGGGGGGTGGGCGGCAATACCATTAGGTTTTTCGTTAGGATGGAGCCCGCAGAACCTTACCTACCCCCAAATCCTATTCTTTCCTCGGGTTTCAGCCACTTTATTTTGGAAGGTTGCCAAAAAATAATTTTGCTAAAAAAATATACGCACCTACCTTGGCTGTAAGGGGCGGGGGAGGTCCCAACTTGACTGCGCCCTTGCAAATGCCAATCAGTAGTATCAACCTATCAGTGGTATCAATAACTAGTAGGTATACCCCGGCCAAACATTAAGTAACGCCTTTCTAAAGAGAGAGGTTAATCCGCGCCCTGATTGGAGGTCATTTTGGCCCCCATGTGGGTTTTCTTGAAAAGCGAAAAACGGCGGCGCGCAGCGCCGCCAAATTTTTAGTACCTTACCGGCCATCAATTTGAAACCTTCGCACAAAATTTCAAGTCTTAGGTCACCTTAGGTCAGGAGTAATTGATGTCAAACTGTTCGAGCAAAAATGAGCAAAAAACATGAAATTCTTAAACGCTCACAAAAGCTACAGTTAACGAGCAATTCCAAAGTTCTTTGTGTGGTCGTGTATGTAGAGAAACGACGGCGCTACAAAACTGCAACCTCTACAACTACAAGGTGGGCAGTGATATCCGAACAAAAACTAATGAAGCACAAAACTTGAATTATTACTATTAGTATTAGTGAGCAGTGAAAGTTCCATTGGGAAAGCCGGCTGTGATGAGGTACTTTTTTTGCGCCCTGCTCTGCATGCAAAGCAGATGAACGTGAATGCTGCATAAAGAGAAAAGTCATTTATTACTCAAAGCTTTGATGCCTATGGGACAAAAATAACGTTGTTTTCCTTCAATGATTCCGGTTTGGAGGATGGTTAAACACGGCCATTGTCATATTGGGACAAAAATTTTAGATGTCTGGCCTTGGCGTCGATGAAAAAGTGAAAATAATCGTGAATAAATGGGTCGTTTCTGAGAAAGAACACAGAATATAAAAGGGGGCCCAAAAAAGGGTCACCTTCTTTTTGCGTCAAAGGAGGGGCCATGGCCCATTGCCCCCCTCCCCCTGTATCCACCCTTGGTTCGGAGAGGTAATCCCGTCCCCCGCCGGTTTCTACGCCGACGCCTGTACCGATATGTCAGTGATTGCGAAAAGACGGAAGAGACAAGACAAGAGACGGTCCCACCGACTATCCGATCGGTATCGGGTCAAATCTGGAGTTCCTGCTGCACTGAACGTAAAATGGTTGGATGGAACTGAAAATTGAAAATTAATAATTATCTTAACGCCAGCAACGTTGATTGATGACGAGAATCTGATTAACGATGACTATAGAATCTGAATAGCGAATTGATTGAAAATGGGCTCCAAAATAAATTTGAAAGGGGGAAATTCCCCCTTCCCTCCCTAGCCGTTCAGACACGATTTGAAAGGGGGAGCGGAATTTTTGAAGGGGGGAAATTCCCCTCTTCCCCCCCTTTAAAAGTAACCCTGTATGAAGGTTACATTTACGCTATGGAATGTACCTAACTATTTCTCGTTACATAAAAACTGTAATTCTGAACGTGTTAACAGGTACAACACATTGTCAAACGTCTCTTCACTGTTTGTGTTACGACAACCGTGTACATGGTAAGGGGCGCCCAGCGGGAAGGGGCGCTTCAATATCGTTTGCACCCCTATCCTAGAATACCTTCCGCCGCCACTGAGCGCCATAAGTATCACAGTAGGTATTCCTGAATATCTAGCTATGATTCATTTAGAGCATTATTATAACAGAGGCTCCCGTCCTGTTCCACCCGATAAATGTTTCGCATAAGGCTCCCAGCCAGCAATGCCCACTCGGGCCCCAATCAGTCCTTGCTTGGGCAGGCCCAACTTGGACTTCTTGGGCACTGCTCAGTTTTTTTCTTGGGCTTTGGTCGGTGTATGACACAGACCGCCGAGCAACGCCCAACAAAAAACCTGAAGCTTCAGGTATGTAGGTACAGCCCTTTCTGTCCCTCCCACTGTAGTCTCACCAGCTTCAGCTCCACTTCTAATCAGCACATATAACTCCGCACTCCTAGCACCACAGCCACTCCAGGTGACTACTCGGACGGCACTTCTCCGGACACTTTCGAATATAAAACAACCAGTTTTCATTCGTCCGCATCTCCTCAACGTAGTCTCGAAACATTACCCGATCACCAACAAAGTGAGGGTACGTGTCTAGATATCTACGACTAGGAAAGGGTCGTGAACGCCCGAACAGGCCACAGAAGTAGCTGTCGTGCTCCAAAACATCGTCCCGCTCCACAGCAGGACCGTACACGAACTTCTCGAGGCGGAGCTGGTCCTCGCCGAGCACCAGCGTCGTAGTGTCCTTTACAGTTACCAGACGTTCTCGCAGCGGTCGATAGATGTCAGAGCGGTGGTTTCGGGCTCCCCAGGCGCCTGCCAGAATGCTGACAGCGTGAAGAGGGTGGTCTCTCATCACGTGAATGGTTTTACCGGACTTGATCCACTCTTGTACGGCGTCGCTCTCCCTCTAGAAAAAAAAACATATAGATAAGTTCAGAAGTGACGGAAAAGGTCGGTCAAGACTCAAGAGTTGGGCTGTGTAAAGCGAAAGGCCTGACGATCGGTTCACTGTTCGTTGTTTCCCCTTTTCGTTGACAGACTGGGAACAAAACGACAAAGTGGTGACTGTAATAAGAGGGCTTGAGCACTAGCTACCATCGAAAAATGTATAACATGTGAAGCAACTTCATAAAAGCTCCACAGACCACATGTCACACAGAGATGCCTACAGCAGGGTGGTAGATAGAAGATAGATAGAATAAATTTATTTCATTAATCAGAACACGTACATACAAAACAATGATCGCCAATTGGTGCAAAAGCAATCTTGCTTAAATCGCAGCACCTTTCGGCTCTTATGTGCTATCGCCCGAGTCGGATCACCTCACCACTGCACGCACGCCCGCGCCGCACCCGCAGTGACCGCCGCCACGCCGCCGCCACCGCCGCCGCCCCGCCCGACCACTCCGGCTCCGGCCGGGCCCGAGGGGCCAGCCCGCCAACCCGATAGACTACCTGAACCGTCCTGTATCGGATAAGAATTTTTGAAAGAGTTGGGCCACCACTCGGTCACCACCTCCCGCAGGACTGGGTCCATTTAATAACAAAGTCAGCAACTCAGAGGAGCGGAGAACAGGAACGTTCATTTCTAGATGGATACTCAAGGCTCTAAATAGGCGATCACGAGCATTTCGGTAAAGAGGACAGTCTAAAAGAAAGTGACGAACAGTTTCACTGGGTGACCCGCATTGACATTGAGGGGAATCAGAAAGCTGTAGGGGGAAAAGGTGAGCGTTGAGCTGAGACATCCCGACCCTAAGCCTAGTGTGAACCCTGTTCCCAAATTTGGTACCGTAGGAGAAATAGTGAGGAGGGGGAGGGGTTCCCAAGTGCTTAATAAGGGCCTTTTTGAAACGTTTAATGGATGTTTCACTGCGGATGTAATTAGGAAGTGTGTTCCATAGGAAGGTGGTACTTGGTAGGTAACATTATTTCTATTTGCTGCTTATCATCGCATGTGGTTATTCATGACCAGACCAGTTTCAGAACTTCCTTTCAGCATCATACAAGCACTCCCATATCTCAGTGTTAGTGCACCCTGCCACGGTGAACCGGGCTCTTGGCACCAGGCGAGGAGGACGTCTATGCAACCCCTGAATTATCATCGAGGCGCCCGGTTCATCCCGAGTCGCGTGACGCAATCGCGGTCATGTGATACGTGTGCTACTTCTGCACGGTTTAGGGTCGGGGTAGCGTAATGTCATCGCAGATCGACCAATTATTGGCTCGTTTCCCGAAACGGTGAATTCGAATTACTCGATATAATATAAGACCTTGATGCATTCGCCGGGACTTCGGTACCTACATATATCTAATTCGATATTAATTAGGTGAAATGTATGCCAGTACCTAAAGGACAATAACTTCTCATACCACGACATAGCTAAACTTCATGCTTGTAGTGCCTTCACACCCCCCCTCGGATCAATCGCGAAAAGAAATATGTGGTCTTTAAAGATAAACGATAGTCGACGATTCAATTTCAAGTGCCATTTATTACACGCTAAGTTAGCTGTGTAACAACATAACAATAAAATAAATCAATTCAACTTTCTTAAGACGTTAAAAATACAAAAAAGCGGAGAAACATTCATTCTTTAACAACCGTTTGAGCCAAACTTCCACCCGCGCCTCACCTGTCCCAGGAGGGAGTCGAGGTCGCGACTGATGAACAGCTCCACAGACGGGTCAGCCAGCGGCAGAAAGCGCCACAGGACTCCCTCGCCGTGATGAACGCTGCTGTTGATCGAGCTGCTGCTGGTACTGCTGACCTCACATAGGTCCAGGTGCGGGTACCTGGCCGACGTAGCGATAGCGCGATGTCAAACGTTCATTCATTAATAGGTATAGAATTAACGATAACGAAATAGTCATTTACATATTTTACGCCTTTTTAAAATCAGGTGAACCGTCTTCTATCACCGGAAATTAATTATTTCTGATGATCACTTTTCAGCCCCCGGGATTTAATCCTAAAATACTAACTCGTTGTGCCAGGGGAGAGACTTCTGAATTTTGTTTTCATGCCGACCTTTCCGTTATCGGTACCTTTTATTCGTTAATCTAAAAAGTCATTTATCATAGCGGGCATGCAGTCTGAATCCATTCAAAAGGTTGAATGCCAATGCTTTTACGTTTCTACGTAGATCCACCGTGCGTAGATCTACAAGATTGCAACGTCAATGTTTGCCCAGAACTTTGTTAGTTCGATCGTTTTTCGATCGTTACTACCTATATGTATAACGACACTCAAGAGCATCACCGCGAGTGCATCGTCGCAGGAATGCATCGCTCACATGACATGGTCCCTTTCTCAAATGAAAGACTAATATATTCGTGAAGCCGGCAATTTTGCGAAAGGAAAAGGGTCCGATATAGACAATAAACAGTGATGTAACAAATATTTATGAATGGACTATGGCTTATAATTTACTAAGGAACCAAAATAAGAAATTTTGCCGACATATATATAAATATATATATAAATATATATATATATATATATATATATATATATATATATATATATATATATATATATATATATATATATATATATATATATATGTCGTTAAACAGCACCGCAGTTTTGGCTTTAGATAGTTTTCTGTTAAGTTTTTGTATCTTGTTGAAAGTTTTCTTGATTGAATCAGGAACTGTATTGATTATATCGGTTATACTCATTTAAGTCATGTTTTCCGACGCGTTTCGATTGTATTTGAGACAATCATTTTCAAGGAATGTACTAAAAAGTACCGCTAAACATGGTCGTCAGTGTAGCTATTTTGATTTGCAAAATATTGAAAATAGCCATGTTACAAATATTGCAGGTGACGAAGATACATATACACTTACACTTCACTATACTGGGTCACTGAATCACTTTAACTTTCCACTTTTTCATCATTTCCAACTCCCTTGAGTCTTAATGCATACCTAATGACACATACGTCATACACATAACACAGACAAGCATTTTTCATAACGCACAGTCTCCAGCTATTCGGTTGGAGCACATGAACAGGGCCGATAAGGACCGTTCCCCATCACTTTTCCCATCAGGATCATACACCCCAGAGCGCCAGTGAGATGTTGGTGTATCTCTGTATGTTAAGTGGTGGCTTATGTCTGCTGATGTATATGGCCTCTTGGATGAATAAGCGATAGTGGTCGCTGTTGGCGTCGATGATGTCGGTGCTGTCTTTGAGTAGTTTGTGAGTGGGTTTTTGTTTGTGTGTGACTACCCAATGTTCGACTGGTCCTGTGTCATCCTGGATGTGCATAGTCAAACGTCTCGACAAAGTTGTCGTAGTCGCACCAATGTAATGGTTGTTACAAGGCCTACAATCCTTGTGTGGACACGTAAATTTGTAAATTACGTTGGTGCGGTTCGATGTCTTTGTCGAAGCGGGACTGTTTTTCATCACTAGTTGGGATGTTTTCTTGTTTCGGTAAAAGATGTAAAGTTGAACCTGACTATTGTCGTCTGTGCAGGTGATGTTCTTCTTCAACATGTCTCTGAGGATCTTCTCATCAGTTTTGTGTTGTGTGTTCATGTAGTTCCTGTAATACAGGTGATGGACCTTGGTAGGTTGTTGTTGTTGCGCAGGTTGTGGTGGCTTGTGTCGTTTTTCAAGTTGTTTGTGGATTTCTTCGTCTACCTCGGTGTTTGTAAATCCATTGTTCACCAGAAGTTGTTTGACCCTGTCAAATTCTGTGTTCATCAAGTCATAAGTGGAACTGGTTTTTACTGCCCGTGTTATGAATGCTCGGAGCACGCTTTTCTTGTACTGAGAGGGGCATTCGCTTTTGGCATTGAGTGTTTTTCCTTTGTTGGTGGGTTTGGCGTAGACGCCAGTGAGGTATCTGTCTGGGGTGGTCTGAATAGTAACATCAAGAAAATTCAAGCTTCCATCTTGGTGTGTTTCAAAAGTAAATTTCAAAACAGAGTTGTTTTCAAGTGCTCGAATGATATCAGCTAAATGCTGTGGGTCCCTCACCTCTAAGAAAACATCATCTACGTATCGACAGTATGTCGTTGGTTTGATGTCCGGGTCACTGAAAGTACTCTCCTCGACAAAAGCCATGTAAAAGTTGGCGAATAGAGGACCGAGAGGTGAACCCATCGCCACGCCATCTTTTTGGGTGTAGAGCTTTCCATCGGGGCCACGAAATGGGGAGTCCTTAGTACACGCTTCTAGAAGGCTTCTAAGAATTTCAGGGGCAAGTGCAAGTTTGTCTAGGCCGTTACTTCTCTTGGTGTAAACCTCGTCTATAATTAACTGGATTGTTGTATCTACAGGTACGTTAGTAAAAAGGTTGTCTACATCAATAGACGCTATTTCACCTTGTGGCTTTTTAACGCGTAGTATATCTAGAAACTCGTCGGTGGATTGAACACTGTATTTGGAAGGAAGATAGGGTTTTAATAATTGGTTAAGTCTTTTTGCTAGCCTATAAGTAGATGTGCAGACTTGAGAAATAATAGGCCTTAATGGGTTGTCTGGTTTATGTGTTTTAACTGTTCCGTAGGCGTACCCTGGGGTGTACTCACCAGATATTGACTCAAAATGTACTCCGTTGATAAGAGCGTTGGCACTTTTAATGATTCTGTTGACCTTTGCTTTTAGTTTCTTGGTTGGGTCCTCCTTGATTTGTTTGAACTTGGATTGATCAGATAGTATGTTGTTCAATTTGTTAATATAGCTTTCTTTGTCTAGGATAACAAAAAGAGATGCCTTATCGGCTCGTCTGACAATGATACGGGGGTCTTCTTTCAATTGTTTTGCCGCCTCTCGAAGATCTTGCGTCAAAAGTTTGCTGTAGTCACTTCCTCTTAGCTTGCTACCTTCACCAGCTAGTTGGCCTTTCAAGTCAGGATGAACACAAATATGATCGCCAGCTTCTAGTTTCAATATACTTTGGTAAAGTAGTTCTAACTCAGTTTGCTTGTGGACAATGTTTCTTTTGGTTTGAAAATGGCAGTTGAGTCCGAGATTAAGTAACTTATGCTGTGCTTCGGTTAGTTCTACTGATGAGAGATTGATGTAGCCTTGTTGTTTTTCTACTTCTGGCAACTTAAAACTGCCACCGTAAAGTCTCGTAAGTTTCTTGGTCACTCTTACGTTGTCTTGGTGTTGGGAATTCTCAGCTTTCTCATCTAAGTACAAGAAAAGTCTGTTTTTGATGCTAGAGTCGATGTCGCTTTCACTAAGTTTCTTGTTAAGGGTGTCTACTTTTTGTTGAAGCTCACTTACTTGTGTTTGTTTCTGATTCAATTGATGCTCGACTAAGTTGCGTCGAAATGTCTCAGTAAATGGCTGTTTCTTTGCCCTATGATCATGCAGTTTCACATCAGAGTATTTGGGCAGGATATTTTCTTTGAGGCATATGTCGTTAAACAGCACCGCAGTTTTGGCTTTAGATAGTTTTCTGTTAAGTTTTTGTATCTTGTTGAAAGTTTTCTTGATTGAATCAGGAACTGTATTGATTATATCGGTTATACTCATTTAAGTCATGTTTTCCGACGCGTTTCGATTGTATTTGAGACAATCATTTTCAAGGAATGTACTAAAAAGTACCGCTAAACATGGTCGTCAGTGTAGCTATTTTGATTTGCAAAATATTGAAAATAGCCATGTTACAAATATTGCAGGTGACGAAGATACATATACACTTACACTTCACTATACTGGGTCACTGAATCACTTTAACTTTCCACTTTTTCATCATTTCCAACTCCCTTGAGTCTTAATGCATACCTAATGACACATACGTCATACACATAACACAGACAAGCATTTTTCATAACGCACAGTCTCCAGCTATTCGGTTGGAGCACATGAACAGGGCCGATAAGGACCGTTCCCCATCACTTTTCCCATCAGGATCATACACCCCAGAGCGCCAGTGAGATGTTGGTGTATCTCTGTATGTTAAGTGGTGGCTTATGTCTGCTGATGTATATGGCCTCTTGGATGAATAAGCGATAGTGGTCGCTGTTGGCGTCGATGATGTCGGTGCTGTCTTTGAGTAGTTTGTGAGTGGGTTTTTGTTTGTGTGTGACTACCCAATGTTCGACTGGTCCTGTGTCATCCTGGATGTGCATAGTCAAACGTCTCGACAAAGTTGTCGTAGTCGCACCAATGTAATGGTTGTTACAAGGCCTACAATCCTTGTGTGGACACGTAAATTTGTAAATTACGTTGGTGCGGTTCGATGTCTTTGTCGAAGCGGGACTGTTTTTCATCACTAGTTGGGATGTTTTCTTGTTTCGGTAAAAGATGTAAAGTTGAACCTGACTATTGTCGTCTGTGCAGGTGATGTTCAACTTTACATCTACAACTTTACATCAGGTTCAACTTTACATCTTTTACCGAAACAAGAAAACATCCCAACTAGTGATGAAAAACAGTCCCGCTTCGACAAAGACATCGAACCGCACCAACGTAATTTACAAATTTACGTGTCCACACAAGGATTGTAGGCCTTGTAACAACCATTACATTGGTGCGACTACGACAACTTTGTCGAGACGTTTGACTATGCACATCCAGGATGACACAGGACCAGTCGAACATTGGGTAGTCACACACAAACAAAAACCCACTCACAAACTACTCAAAGACAGCACCGACATCATCGACGCCAACAGCGACCACTATCGCTTATTCATCCAAGAGGCCATATACATCAGCAGACATAAGCCACCACTTAACATACAGAGATACACCAACATCTCACTGGCGCTCTGGGGTGTATGATCCGGGCCTTGGTAACAACTGGATTTCCATTACGTCATGGGTGATGATGTCACACCACGGGTGACGTTTCACTGCTGCTGCTGCTGTCCACGGAGGGCAGCGTTTGTGAGTGGAAAACAGTTGCAACATTGTAAATGAAGGCAGTATTGGCGCTTATGCTACATATGAAATTTATAACAACATATTGATATTAGTGAATGCTTATTTTTTGTTACTTTTCATAAACCCTCCATTTCAGGGTCTGCATGCAAAATTTCTGTTATTTTAGAGTCAAGCTATTGTACTAAGGGATTTATTTTGGCAATTTAGTCATTTGTTAGGTTATCAGGCTGCAGAAACTTTTAGTTGAGGTTGGTATCCACTATCCAGTTGCAGCTATAATTGTGTCATATTTTGTATCATTTTCTGAACATGTAAACACCTACCTATTTGAATTCAAATTTCGTGATTGTAGAAAATCAGTTACCCTCACATTGCAGCGTGGATTAGAACAATTAACCACACTTGTTATACTAAAAGCCTGTTTGCCATCAATTTTGGGAATCCAAATCAGTAGGTGGAACTATGGTCATGAGTACCCAAATATAGGAACGTTGCCATTTTTGGGAACGGAGTTCCCAAATATGGGAACGGGCGTTCCCATTTATGAGAACGGAAGGTAATTTTTCGGCCGTTCACCCACTAAAACTCATTAGTGCATCACATCTCAAAAAAGTGCACGCTAATTCAAGTATCTACTAAGTCTCTATAAAATTATCTTTAATCTGACCGTTGAACAAGGAAATTGACCGTCGAATGATATTTTTAATGATTTTTTGAAATGACGGAATGGTGAAAACATGGGTTATACTACATTTAACATGCAATTTTAAGGAAAATGAAGCGTTTTTTACAGTTTGAGGTCAAGTATAATAATTTTCGCCTGGTTATGAAGTTTCATACTAGCGACACCAGATGCTGACATATGCAAGCGAACACGCGGACAGTCCCGAGGTAATATTGTTGACTTTTGGTGTCGGGGCGCACGACCGCGTGGAACATCAGTGATTTTACCGAACTACTGTTGTAAACTCAGTTTCAGTGGTTTAAAATTATTCAGCTGTGTTTTATCAGCCCGGAAAGACATATTTTATTTGGATGCTAGCTGTTTAGCGTTGTTTTATAAGCAGAGTCATGAGCGTGGTTTTTGTCTTCCGTGTTTCTAAGCGTGATCGTTTTGGGGGAATTTCTCTTATATAGGTCGCTCTGTGTGGCTAATTTATAATTTTTATGCTGATTTCGATCATTCCTCGTGCCCATCCTACCAGGCCTTTTGCCACTTACACTCATTAAGAAAGGAAAAAAACTAGATTTTCATTGGGACTAGGTGTTATGAGGGTGTAACATATTCAGCGTTCCCATTTTTGGATACTTTCTTGTGCTCGTCAACTATCGGTGATAAACAGACAGGTGCTTGACATGTCTCCACCCTCGGCGCGAACGGTGGATATAGGTATGGAATGGGAAGACCTTGTTGAACATCGCTGAGCGTTGTGAATTGCGTAATCCTGCAGAGGGGGGGGGGGCGTGCCCGCTGCGAGATCGACGGGAATAAAAGCGCAGAAGACCGGGCGAAACATGCGACGGTCTTGCCGGAAAGGTCATCTGATGATTGTTGCGTTAACAATAATTTGCGGCGTTGGACGTGATGCTTGTTAATGAAAAGAGCCCCTGAAAGGCTTCGGTGAAATCGTTCCCAATTTTGGGTACGCCGTTCCCATAATAAGGAACGCTTGCAGCGCCAGTGTACGAGAGCGTTCCCAAATTTGGGCTCGCGGCCCGGATGATGGACTGCTTTAGAAATACGGGAACGATTTGAAACTACGATGGGCCTTACAATATCAAACTCTTTCCCAACAATATTGAGACAAATGTCAGTCGGTTCACGATCGTTTTATATTCTTTGGACGTCATTTAACGGTTCTTTTTCTTGTTTTAAATAATGCCTACATGGCGTTCCCATATTTGGGTTTATCGTTCCCAAACATGGGAACGAAAATGCGTTCCCGAAAATGGATACGCTTGACCATAGTTCCGCCTACTGAAATTGGGTATTGGTAAGGTAGATGTAGCACAAGCTGCCCGATGCACGAGAATGGGTCTTTCTAACCAAACCTTACCTAACCTGACCTACAACCTACAGCCTTAAACCTAAAATTTACAACCTACGACCTAGTCCTACGGTATGGCATATCACAACAGCTTGTGCTACGTCTGCTACCATGACCCAACTTTGTGCCAATTCATACCAACTTAGGATGACAGTCACTGCAGATGTGTGCTGACCATGCAGGTCTTTGTTACAATTGCAATTCTATTGTGTTACAGGTTCGGCGTTCTACAGCTGCAACCCGCCATGGCTGGGCCACCGCGGCGGCATCACCTTCAGGGTGGACCTGCCTGTGGCCACCCGCCGGTCGGACCCGCCTGCAGTCCGCAGGGAAGCTGCCCTGCGAGCCATTGCAGAGCTCCCGCACCCGGACGTCACTATCTGGTCGGACGGCTCGGCTCGCGGCGGACGGAACAGGGCGGCGCAGGCACTGATCCAGTTCCACCACCTCAACAGAGAAGAGACCGTGCGCGCTCCTGCAGGGGCGGTCTGCTCCAGCCTAAGAGCAGAACTGACCGCCATGCGCGAGGCGTTCGCGGCTGTGGCCGGCCTGGAGGACGGGGAGTTGGCATCGACCAAGTCGGTCCGCCTCCTCACCGACTCAAGGTCTGGGCTCCAACTACTCGGCCGCGGCCCAGCTAACCAGACCATGGCCCTGGCCGCCGAGGTGTGGAGGCTGCTGAGTGCTGAGCACCCTCGCCGAGAACGGCACCGAGACGGTGCTCCAGTGGGTGCCAGGCTATGCCGGGCTGGACGGCAACGAAACCGCCGACCGCCTGGCTGGCGAGGCCACGGCGGGCGACCAAGACAGCGCACCGATCGACCTGTCGAGTGCGCGGGCCGCCGTCACGCGCCATGTCCGGGAGCTGTCGCGACAGAGGGCAACCGCTGCCCACCCGCACCCGGACCCCACGCCTGGCCACGACTCCCTGGCGCGCTGGGGTCGGTGACGCTGTCCCAGCTGAGGACCGGCACATCACCGCTGACCCGTGACACGCTCCACAAGATTGGCCCGGAAGCCGACGACGAATGCCCCGCGTGCGGGGAGCCCGACAGCGCGGCGCACCTACTGACCGATTGTCCGGCCTATGAGGCGGCCCGCCGCCGCCGCTGGGGTGTCGACCCTCGCCTGGTCGACGTCCTCGGCGGCCCGGCGACGAAGGTCGTCACCTTCATCGAGGATGTTGGGCGGACCGAGCCGCCGCTCGACCCGCCTGCGCCGCCGCCCCCCTGAGCGGGTTGGCGATGGGATGCAGAAGAAGAAGAAGAAGCAACTGCCAGCGCGCCATGGCGGCGAAGCCGAGTTCCGCCGCTGGACCGCCCGCGCAATGGCCAGCACAGACAAGAGACAACCGAATCACAACACCTACAATTACCTTATTGTTATGGTATTGACATTGTTACAATTAACCCTGCTCTTTCGAGCGTGGATGCACGCTGAAATTGTCGCATAATTCCATGCAGCTTCCACCCTTCTGCAATACAAAGTTTGAATACAAAGTAGTCTTACAATAGGTTTAGAACTTATGTGCAGATTGTCGATGCTGGTTGACTTGATGATTGGAATTGTGTTTATCTGTTTCATCTGTTTTGACTTAAATATATGGCCATGGACTATGGCCTACCTTGGGAAGTGTCTCTGATTTCAACAAAACATTTTTCATCAGGATACGCTGCAGGGTACATAGTACATACGTAGTGAAAATTTTGAGCATGTATGGGTGCGCATGTGGAGATGAAGACTGCGAATGAGACGGACTACGACGGTTTTTGAACCAATTAAATCTGATTGACAACATAATGTAGGACTAAAAACTGACTGTCAGAAGAATATTCACAGAATATTCACTTCACCCGGTACAACGAAAAGGGAAAGTCAGGGAACGGAGGCAGGGTACATCTCGAAGATCAATCAAATTGCAGGTGCCGATTGGTTATGGATCATCGTAGCTCAATGTACTGCCTTGTGCTTCTTTATTGATTGAAATTGCTTCCACCTTGTATTGAAAGAAGTTATTATGGAAGATTTTAAAAAGGTTCTGGAAAAATTCAAATACTTTGAATTTATATTTCTGCAGAATTATACACCCGTATCATTCTTTACATGTCAATATTTGTATATTATCTAGCATATAAGAAAATAGTGGCCTCAAGTTTCTAGAAAATATCTGATTTTGCTCTCTGGGCCACTGCAGATCCCTAAAAAGTTAGGAGCCGTCTTCATTATTTAATGTATAAAACCAAATAAATTATCACTGCTCAAAAGTGGAAGAAATGACAAATTAAAAAAAGTTTTCCTACAGCGTTGCAATCCAGATTTCAAGATAGTGATGGGCGCACTAGAAAGCAAGTAAAAGTACTCCACAAGGTAAAAGTAA